AATTGAAAACATGGATGAAATATGAAACAAATAACATAAAACGCATACAAAGCAGAAAATAACTAAATGTATCAAAAGTATGTCTGTAATATTAGAATTTTCTGAGACAATGAATTTTGGTTATTCGTTTTGTTTTGTTTTTTTCCTGTAAGAGGTTTTTATTTAATAGAATTTTTGGACCAAAAATATCGCAATATATCGCCTTGTTTACAGTATCGAAACATATATGTATCGTATCGTCAAATTCTTGCCAATACACAGCCCTATTAATAAGTATATTGTTCTGCATACAAAGTTTACCATGTACACATGTTCTCAGTCAGCCTGGTTGACAGTTTCAGGAGCTGCTTGAGTAAAACTTCTTTATTCTCCTCCTCATCCTCTTCTTTGTCATCAAACTTCACAAAAGCCTCTTTCACAAGACAGTTTCTCGAAATCGCCACACAGACCGGTCCGGCTTTAAGCTTCCTCGGTTCATTCATAAATCATGTGAAGCCGGTCAGGTCCAGCTCACATGTACACATTCAGAAATGAACCAGCAGCGCAGAACCCAAAGACGTGTGGAGCAGAACTCAGCTGGGCTGAAGAGGACCGCAGCATATTTATTGTAACGGACGTCTGTCTCATGTCAAACAAAACAAACTGAATTAACTTACTTTAGTGATCCTGTGGTTCAATACTTTTTAAACTACAAAGTTGTTGTTCTGTGTCGACTTTAATATTCCCTCAGTAATAAATCTGTTCATTAATCCTGYGGTCGCTCACTGATGTCATCAGTTCATTATCATACTTTGAGCTGTGGAACCGCGGGGTCTGCCCGGCTCTGATACTACCTCTCAGCTCAGAGGGGCATCAGAGGTGGGCTCACTTTACTCGCCTTTGAACTTTGTGATTTTCTGAACAACCCGAGGAAGACAGAACACGCATCAGTCCTGCACTGAGCTGTCTTATGAAAGAGGCTTTGAACTCTCCGTGTGTTCAGCTACAGAGCAGAACTCCAGTTGCTTCATCTTTTTTCTTTCAGTTGGTCGTGTCTTGGATGACTAAGAATCCAGAGAAATATATGATCCTAACATTGGTGTCAGAATACATCACAGGCTTTAAGCTGGAGRGGTATGAAGGCATCTTTTGGACGCCTTGTTTGGTTTTCTAACACCGTCTAGAAGTGTGGCGGTGCCTCGGGACACCATTTCAATCTTCAGGTTCATGTAGATTTAACAGACATTTTTCTGGATTAGATTCGACTTTTGTTCTCAAACACACTAGAAAGGCCTACGAGCCAGTCAGTATTAGGGTGTGGGCGGGCCTTGGGTTTAGCAAAGCTTTAATCCAGCAGCAAGCGTGCATTGGACCACAATTTTATGAAGCCAGAGGAAGACACATTAACCTCTTGAGACCCATGCAAAACAGTTTCCGTTTTTTAATTCTTTTAACTTCAGATGTGTCAGTTGAACCTGGACATGTTTGGTATCAAAATAAACCTAGGAATCTTGGCTAAAAGCTCATGGTAACTATTTTTACATTTGCCAAACGCAGTTCAAATGTTAAGCAGTTGAATCAGAAAGTAAACAAACTGTGTAAAATGTCATCATTGCAAATCTGTAAATACATTCAAGCAAATCTGTAAAGGAAAAATTTTAAAGCAAGTCAAAGTAGATACCTAAATATGTTGTAAAGTGTGTTGAAAGTTTTTTTCACTTGATTCTGAGTGAATATGATCCAACTGAAGTCAAATAGAATTTCTCATTTTTTATATAATATATAGTGACAAATAAATGTTTGGATAATTTTTCAAAAAACAGTCATTCAATAACAAGTCTTTAAGGCAGGTGAGAAAAAAATAATTTTTTGTTATTAAAAACTTCAGATTTCTTAATATTTATTAATGGTACCTTCATGGTCTGTCCTGTGCAGAATGACAAAATGCAAAATTATTTCTTTACTAAAACCTCTGTAACTTTGCTCCAGTTAATTTTAGCAGCATGGATCTTTGCACCGGTAATGTTCACAAGTGGATTTATGGTTTCCAAGCCTGATTCATTATGGTTTTAAATGGGTTATATACTGTGTAATGAAAAAATTATTCAGGTGAGAGTGAAAAAAATTAAAATATTATGTTTCATCTCTAAAACCACAGCATCTGTTTTAATACCTACACTTCTAGTGAAGTCTTTCAAGTGATAGCTTTATTTTGATACCAAGTAGTGTTGGGCGGTATGACAAAAATTTTATATCATGGTATTTTCAACATTTACACCGGTTTCACGGTGTATCACAGTATTTTTCTTTTCATCACAGGTCAGCTGATGATAAAATGTACAAACCCTGCTTATTAACTTTTCTATTTTACTGTACCTCTGTCTGTGTCTCTGTTTCCCTCCTCTAAACGTCTTTTCTTCTYCTCATGGTTGGCGACAGTAGTCACGCATTTTGGTCCGGTTGTGAAGGAGGAGGGTTAAGAAAAGATTATTATCTGGTCTATTGCTTTATGTTATTTAATAAAGATCAACAGCATGACTCACCTTGCACACCAGTCAACTCAATTCCACTACAAAACTTCTTCCCCCAAGCTTTTCACAATAGAAGCACGCTAAAGTCTCCATGCTTTTCCACGTCTCCATTTAAAGTCACGTGTTTAATCTAACTGTGCACGTGACTGAAGAGATGTTTACTACATTCAGCGACGGCGAAAACGGGATGTTATTTAATGTCAGTCAATATACAGYGGGTAAAATAAGTATTGAACACGTCACCATTTTTCTCAATAAATATATGACTAGAGGTGCTAATGACATGAAATTTTCACCAGATGTCGGTAACAACCCAAGTGATCCATACATACAAAGAAATCAAACCATAAAGGTCCAGAAA